ATTCTTGTGTGTGGATGCCCAGCTAGGGTGTTCAAATACACTTCGGGGTTTAACCCGAAGACGGAGACGCCGCTTGTCCCCGTCTGGTGCCGCCTTCCTGGCCTCCCACCCCACCTCTACGACCGGGCTGCCATCACTACGCTTGCTAAGTGTATAGGTCAGTCGGTTCGTATTGATGCCCCGACGGCCCTCCAGTCGAGGGCCAACGTGGCGCGATTCTGCGTTGAGATCGACCTCAGGGACGAACCCGTCCACGAGATAGAGATTGTGCTGGGGTTGGATACCCTTGTACAGCGTGTGATCTATGAGAAGATCCCCGCCTTCTGTACTGCGTGCAACCATGTTGGTCATATAGCGGCCAACTGCTATATCATTGGCAATAAGCCACGCCCCACTCCACCTCAGCGCCGTCATACGGCACACCCGGGACCCTCCAACACACGGAGGGAACCGAAGGGAAAGGGCAAAGGCCCTCTCCAGACACCCGGACCCCCAAAAGGGGCCACGGATAAGGGCAAGGCGAAGATGGATCACACTGCCCAAACTGGAAAGGATGCTCATCCATACCAGTCTGATCAGTTCATCATAGTTGGGCCCAAGGCCAAGGCCACGGGCTTTCTTCCTAGAGATACTCTTCAGTCGGCCTTCAAGGCCAAACACTCGTTCTTTGCTCCCCTCTCTCCTGGGTCTAAGGATGAGGCTGAGCCTTCATCTAGGGACCCACACTGTCTATCCGATCTTGGCCTTTTAGATGACGACGATCTTTTAGGAGATGATTTAGAGCAGCCGGATACTTCACCTAGTGGCCCGGCCATCCATTTATCTCAGGACAACACTCGTAATGCTGTCCCTTTGCCCGTCCACTCTCATAGCCAGGACTGTTCTCAGGAGATGAGGACAGCTCCTGCCACCGCTTCCTCGAAAGAGGAATTGCGGACTCACCTCCCCTCTGCGGTGCTTGGGATCTCGACTGAGCATTTAGCTCTCCAGCCACACTCTGATAGTGAGCACCCGAGTGCTCTACCGGATGGAGTCTCTTCCCCTCCCCTCCCGGAGCAGACATGCGGTCTTAATCGCGCTCAGCACGACGTCTCGTGCGAGAGTTTCTCCTCCAGTGCATTTGTGCACAATGGTAGACAGGAGGCATGCCCGGAGATGGGGGCAGACTCCTAATATCAGTCTTGGTCAGACTGCTCAGCCTGACGATTCGCAGGCCACGAGCGCTTTTCGAGGGCAGTCACCCTCGAAGAACATACCCACACCGCGTATGTCGCGGCGGACTATCTCTCCAGCCCTTCGTCGATCCTCTCGCCACCTCCCCCCTCATGCAGGTGGTTTGATTCAGCCTAGCCACAGGCGGACCTCGTCCGGTGGCTCGTCTCATTGTTGATATATCTATCACGTCCATTACTTGGAATGGACGGGGATTGGCTAATAGGGCCACTCTCGCTCACCTTCGCTCCCTCATTCGTGATCATAGATTGGATTTTATCGGTTTTATTGAGTCGATGATACGTACACCTGACTTTGACTATTACTCTCGCCGATTGGGTTTCCAAACGGGCGTGGGTAACATTTCTCATAAGATCTTCTTTTTTCACTCGCGTGATTACACTTGTCGGGTTCTCCGGGACACCGATCAGGTGCTTCATATCGAGCTTTCTGCAGCCCATCTCCCTGAACCCATATTCCACACTTTGGTTTATGCCAAGTGTAATAGAGTCGGTAGATACGATCTGTGGGATACCCTGCGTGAGATTGCTGAGAGTATGGAGGGATTGCCATGGATGGTTAGTGGTGATTTCAACATCTTTCTACACCCCGATGAGCGTGTGGGTGGCCGCACGGACCGGTCCCGGGAGATGTGGGACTTTGTTCAGACTGTGGCGGACTGTGAGTTGATTGATGCTGGTTGTGAGGGTGAGCCCTACACGTGGGTAAGGGACGATCTCAAAGAGAGACTCGACCGTGCTTTGGTTTCTGAGGCGTGGTCGAAGGTGTTTGCGGCTACAGCCGTTACGCATCTCACTCGATTTAGATCTGACCATTCACCCCTCCTTATTAGGTGTCGGTTTTCGAATACTCCCTGCCGCACGTCTTTTAGGTTCCAGAACATGTGGGTTCGCCACCATTCCATGATACTGTCAAGGATTCCTGGCTCCAACCGACTGGGCTCTTCGGGATGCGCAATCTCGAGGCCAAGCTCGGCAGATTACGACGTAGGTTGAGACAGTGGAACTGGGATGTTTTTGGAAACCTTCATCATCGCCTTTCTGTGGCACAGAGTGCGCACGCGGAGGCTGAGCGGGTCTATGATCTGGATCCTACTCCAGAGAATAGAACTGCGATGCACCGCTGCCATGCCGAGTACCAGCTCCGACTCCTTATGGAGGAGGATTTCTGGAAGCAGAAGGCGGCCGTTCGCTGGGTGGCAGAGGGCGAACGGAATACTAGATTCTTCCAGGGCTTCTTTAGACAGAAGCGTGCTAAGTCGTACATATATAGTATTGAGGCTAATGGGTCATCCCTGACTCAGGAGTCTAAGATTCGAGAGTCGGCTGTTGCTTACTTCCGGACCCTTTTCAATTCTGATAGGGGATCCCCTGTTGCCCCGACCACCTCTTTCTTCCCTACCATCCCCCCCTCGGTCGACCTTGTCGACCTCTGTGAGATCCCGAGCAGGGAAGAGGTTAGGGATGTTGTATTCGGGATTGATCCCAACAGCGTTTCTGGCCCGGATGGGTTCTCTTCCCTCTTCTATCAGGTCTGCTGGGATATAGTTGCGCCTGATGTTGAGGAGGCAGTGTTGGATTTCTTCACTGGTCACCGGATGCCGGATTCCTTCACTGCTACCTCTATTGTTTTGATTCCCAAAAGACCCAATCCGAGCTCTTGGTCCGATTACAGGCCCATCAGCCTGTGTAACGTGACCAACAAGCTTATTTCCAAAATTCTTAGCGGCCGACTTTCTCCTATTCTACCCTCCTTTATCTCTTCGAACCAGAGTGGATTCGTCAAGGATCGGGTCATTAGTGATAATATACTTTTGGCTCAGGAGATGATCCATGATATCTCCCATGCAGATTGGAAACGGGCACCGAACATTGCGCTGAAGCTTGACATGGCTAAGGCATATGATAGAGTTGAGTGGCCATTTCTTAGGGAGGTACTGGCTAGGATGGGATTCCCTGAGCGTTGGATCGGCTTTGTTAGAGCGTGTGTGGAGCATTGCACGTTCTCAGTCCTGGTTAATGGTAGCCCCACTGATTTTTTCCCCTCTTCTAGAGGCCTTAGACAGGGAGACCCCATTTCCCCGTCCCTTTTTGTCCTTGCGGCAGACTACCTCTCTCGCTGCCTTGACGGCTTCATCCGCGATTATCCTCAGATGACTTATAGCACCCGTGGCTATGGCCCTCCCGTCTCGCACCTTTCTTATGCGGATGATATCATCATCTTCACTCGAGCAGATGATGATGGGCTAATCGAGCTTATGCACCTTCTGGAGCATTATAGCTCAGTTACCGGCCAGATGATCAGTGTGCAGAAGAGCACATTCACCCTTTCCTCCTCCAGTGCAGATAGGTGGGCTCAGCGAGTCCACGAGATCACTGGTTTTGCTCGCGGCGACCTTCCCATTACCTACCTTGGTGCCCTTTTATATAAGGGCAACCTCACTAGGGCGCTCTTTGCGGGCATCAGGCAGAGGATGATCGATAGGATCTCTGGTTGGTCGCGTAGACATCTTTCTTTCGGTGGCCGGCTTGCTCTGATCAAGAGTACCCTTACCTCCCTTCCGATTCATTTACTTATGGTCCTCGATCCCCCTAGGTCCACTCTTGACGAGATTGACCAGATTATGGCTCGCTATTTCTGGGGTTACGAGGATAGCTCGGGGAGGGGGAGACGTACCCACTGGGTGAGTTGGGACTCTATCTGCCGCCCTCTCTCTGAGGGTGGCCTTGGCATCCGTCGCCTCAGGGATATAGTTACTGCCTTCTCATACAAGTTGTGGTGGCGATTCAGGGAAGGAAAGTCGCTGTGGGCTCAGTACCTTCGCGGCAAGTACTGCTCTAGACGCGCCAACCACCCTTGTTGGGTAACGGCGGTTGCGCACGATAGCAGACAGTGGTGTCGCCTTACTAGGGTTGGTAGACGCGCCCAGGATCATATTTTTTGGGTTTTTGGGGGTTGGTGAGGTTAGTTTCTGGGATGAGTGGTGGTTAGGTGATAGACCTTTGTCTAGAGATAGGCAGGTGTCGTATTCCCCCTACCTGCTTGTGCGTGACCTTTGGACGGACGGGTCGTGGGACAGGGGAAGCTTGACAGAGAGTTGGGCTTCGGGGCGGGTTTTAGTGAGCAGTTATTAGATCAGATCCAGCAGATACCCATCTCGGGGGACGATTCAGATGGTATGAGGTGGAGACTTACATCATCGGGTGTGTTTTCTACTACCTCTACTTGGGAGCAGATCAGGCTGAGAGATCGGCCTAATCTTCTATTCAGAGCCATCTGGAGCGACCTTTTCACCCCTACCATATCTGTTTTCCTTTGGCGCCTTCTCTTGCGCCGGATACCTGTGGACACTATCCTACATGCGAGGGGGATCTCTTTTCCCTCCCGATGTGTGTGTTGTTCTGAGACTGGACGTCATGAGACCGAGACTTTTACCCACCTTTTTCTAGAGAGTGAGATTGTGAGGAGAGTGTGGGAGCATTTTGCGACTTGGACTCATATATCCCTACCCTCCACAGACAGTTTTTTTGAGCTCCTGAGTTTTTTCTCACAGAGCACACACTTTAGACACGTGAGCTTCCTCATTCCTTGTCTGATCCTTTGGTTCACCTGGACGGAAAGGAATAGTGCGAAGCATAGGGATATTATTTTTTTGCCTTCTCACATTGTTTAGCAGGTACAGAGACATCTTTCTCTCCTCACATCATTGGGCAGGCTCACTGCCAGAGACTGGACAGGCGGCACGCTACCACACCGCTACTTGGTAGCTCCCCCTGCGCCTGTTCGGCCTCCTCGGCCCAGAGCTGTCGTTTGGCTTCGACCCGACTCCCCTTGGGTCAAGCTGAACACTGATGGTTCTTTTGATCACCAGACCGGAGTTGCCGGAGGAGGAGGTTTTATCCGGGACCACAGCGGCGCTCTCATCACCGCCTTCCACACGTCCCTTCAGGCCTCCTCGAGCTACGATGCAGAGATTCAGGCTCTACAGATTGGCCTTCATCTCGCTGCCCACCTCTCTAGTCATATTTGGATCGAGCTGGACGCTGCGGCGGTCGTCACCATCCTGACCTCGGGCCACCAGGGCTCGTGGCAGATTCAGCACCCGCTTATGCGCATTAGAGCTCTCCTACGGTCTGTCCATCACAGGATTACGCACATCTTCCGTGAGGGGAACAGACCTGCTGACTACCTTGCCAGCCTTGGCGCCACCACACCGGACCTACACACGTATCAGACCGACACCACTGCTCCACTCCGTCTTCGCACGCTGGTACGGATGGACCAGCTTGGATATCCATCTTTTCGGTTTTAGTAGATTCATTTTCTCTCCTTTGATCATACATTTTTCCGGGCACCTGTTAGCCCGAGGACAGACCTTGTAGTATTTCCTTTCTTTTTCCTTTTCAGTTTTTGTTTTCCTTTTTATTGTGAGACTATGATTGTATTTGGTTGATATTTGGGCCCTTCTTGGGGTCTTGATCTATATACAGGTTGGGGATCCCGCCCAATCCCCCGCCCCCGG